TAATAGAGGCCCCAGAGAGCTGTCTTTCCCCTTTCACCATGTGAGGACACAGCGAGACAGTGCCATCTATGAGAAAGTGGCCTTCACCAGACACCGAATCTGCTGGCGCCTTGATGTTGGACTTCTCAGCCTCCAGAACTGTGAGAAATACATTTCTGTTGTTTAGAAGCCTCACAGTCTATGGTATTTTGTTATAGAAGCCTGAAGCAACTAAGATACCCTTTTTTCTTTTCTTTTCTTTTTTTTTTGGCACCAGGGTCTCACTCTGTCACCCAGGCTAGAGTGCACGGGCATAATGATAGCTCACTGCAACCTCAAACTTCTGGGCCCAAGCGATCCTCCTGCCTCAGCCTCCTGAGTAGCTGGGATTACAGGTGCGCACCACCACGCCCTGCTAATTGGGACTAAGATACTCTAATTAACCATAGTATGTTTATCAAAAATCAGGAATTGAACATTGATACAAATGGATAATCTATAGACCTTACTCAAATACCGCTGATTTTAAGGGATCAGTTTTTTTTTTCAGAACTTCATACTTTATTTAAAATTAATAAAATGAAAAACAGTTACAAGTAAATGAAAATTCAGTACATTTAGTTGGATATTATTTATAAATTTACATATTCACAAGCTCATAGATCCATTCTTCACCACCATCAAACATTTTAGTCTATGTAGTCAAAGTCTTCTGGAATTCCAAAATTTTTATCAATTTTATTTTCTTCGAGTCCAAATTTTCTTTTGGCCCAAGATTTTATTGCAAATATATTATCAGTTCATCTGTTAGCAACTTCTTTGGCTACTTTATTTGCTTGACATATTTCTTCTACCACTTGCGGGTCACATTCTTCGTATTTTTCTACTTCTTCCTTTAGCTGTTCCCTTTGGTCCCGAAGTGAAGAAAGTTCTTTTGCTAGCATAGTTCGCTCTTCCGTCTCATGTCGACCAATTTTAGCTTTTTCAGTGCTTTTCTGTAGGTTTGCATGCTTTTGGCTTCCCTCGGACAGCTGAGATTCCAGAACCTCCAACTTACATTTCCTTGCATGAAGAGCTTTACTTGGAAAAGCCCAATAATAATTAGAAGTTCCAATCCTCTCACAGTCAACCATACCATCATCAACCAAACTTTGAAGGACTTCTTTTACTGACATAGCAGTAATGCCTTTCTCTTTGGGAGCAATCTTCTCCATGTCTTTTAATTGAAATACATCTTTTGTCTCAAAAAATATTTCCATCATGCAGGCTCTCTTTTCTTCTGCACTCAGTCCTTTTTTCTTTGACATGGCGCGGGGGTTTCCGGTGGCCTAAGGGACCAGTTTTTAAGGATTACTTTCTACCCTGCTGCTTCTCCTTTCCTCCTTTCTTCCTCCTCTCTTCCAGGCCTTTGAGAATAAACAGATGGGGGGTAGGCAGCTCATTTTTTTGTTTTGTTTTGAACTTTTTATTTTCAAATGATTGCAAATTCAAAGAGAGCTTCAAAAGTAGCAATATATTTTTAGGTCAAAATTTTGATTTTGAAATCTAACATTTCATTGAGATATTTAAACCCACAGTTTTTAAGTCTGTATTCATGCTTTCGCATCTATTTAACAAATATTTATGAAGCACTACTTTGTGCCACGCACTTTTCTAGACACTGGGGATACAAACAGTAAGTAGTTAAACCTCTACTTCAAACCCCACCAAATAGGAATTTCTTCAGGGTGGAGTCAACTAGTTCTCTTAAACAACCCTGCAAGCCACCTAGGTAATGTTGTGTGTGTTTGTTTTACCATCTTAGCCATTTTTAAGCGTACAGAGTTCAGTAACGTTCAGTATATTCACATTGTGCAACAGATCTTCAGAACTTTTTCATCTTGCAAAACTGAAATTCTGTATGCATTAAATGATAATTCCCCTTTACCCGTCCCACCCCGTCCCCTAATCACCATTCTACTTTCTGATCCTATAAATTTGACTACTTTAGATACTTCATATAAGTGCAATCGCATACAGTAATATTTGTCTTCTTCTGATTGGCTTATTTCACCTCAGCATAATGTCCTCAGGTTCATCCATATTGTAGCATGTACCAGAATTTCCTTCCTTTTTAGGCTGAATAATATTCCATTGTATGGTATGTACATAATACATTTATCCATTCATCTGCTGATGGACAGTTGGATTGTTTCTACCTTTTGGCTATTGTGATAATGCTGTGAACATGGATGTATAACCATCTCTTTGAGACCCTGTTTTCAATTCTTTAGGATGTATACCCAGTAGCGGGATTGCTAGAAAGAACACTTTTAAGTACTTCTAAATGTGGCTCTTTACAAATTACCTTGTTTATTCTCTCAAGCAGTGGTGCCCTTAAAACCAGGCAACTAGAGCTCTTTGGCTGGGTGGGTACCTTACTGGTCCTCCTCTGGCCTTGACCCCAGCCCCCTCAGTCCAAGGATAAGAAGTCCAAGGAAACTAGAGGATGCACTCACATGCCCTCCTTTAGACCATGTTCTAGGTACCTACTTAAAACATCTCCAAATTTGCTTCCAGGGCCTGTGCAGGCCTCTTCCTAGGTCCACCCTCCCCAGAATGGACATACTAGTGTGTACAGCCCTAGGCCGAAAGGATGGCCAAAGCGCAGCTTTGTGGGGGAGGCGTGGTCTGGATCTTCAAGCTAGGTGTTCACATGCAGGCACACGAAGCCTCTCACACTGCAGGACTGAATTGGGAATGGGTTAGAGGCCTCCATTTGTACTTTTTCTCTGGATTCCTGCAAATATTAGTAGCTAGAATTTTGTTAGATAAACATATACTATTGACAAGGTCTGAAAAACATTTAATTCCACTACTGTAAACCTGTTTTTAACTGGCTGTATTTTCTAGAATCAGTATATCCCTGGCTTCCCAGTGTCTGAGTCTAGCTGGTAAACCCGATGGGTAAGATTTGCTGCTTATTAAGGAAGCCTGCACCAGGGTGAAGAAAAACTGTTATTAACCTGAATCTGTTGTTCTTTTGCATGTGTAATGCCCAGTAATGCTAGTGGAAAACACAGAAGATACATTCAGGCAACAAGGGGAGATAAGACCCCCAATCACCAATGCCAGTAGGTAGACACAGGCAGTTCTGTCAGCGCATCTGGGATGCACAAATGGAAGCTCAGAGAGGTCAATGAGCTCGTTTGACCTACACAGACACACAGGTACATGGCTGAATCCCAGAAGCAGACTTAGTCCCAGAAGCAGCCTGGGAGGGAAGTTTTGTGGGGAGATGAGGTCAAGTCATCTGTTTCTCTGGCAAGGTAAAGCATTCCTGTTAGGAATCTTCTTCCACTCTAGCTGCTGTTTTAGCTCAATATTGGGACAGAATTGTGGCAGAAGGAAAAAATCCCGAAGGGTCTATAAGCCAGGAGCAGGTCTAAACCGCTGAGAGGCATCATTCTCCCCCAACAGTCTGTTTCTTCCAGAACTGGCAAGTAGACCCATCCCACCCCTGAGGGCTGGGAGTCAAGTCCCGCGGGCACCTCGGATTTGGCAAGTTCAAATCTGAAGGCCTCATCATCACCCCCAAACATGGTGCTTTTTCTGGGCTCCCTCTGTCAGTTAACTAGTAGTGTCAACCCACCTTCAGCCTCACCCCAGTCACTCAAGCCTGAACATTCCTCAACTCCTCCCACACCTCCTCTGACCTGAGCATTTGGGCTTCCTAAATCTCTACCTCCCAATCTCTTTCACGTGTGGTCCACTCCCTTCTGTCCCCACTCCCCTGTTTGGGCCACCACCATCTATCTATGGGGCAACTTATACCCTCCTAAGGGTTCCTGCCTTCAGTGCCCCCCACCCAGCTTGTTACTGAGCAATCGGTGGGCTCGCTTCCTGATGCGCATAGAAGCCAATACCATGGCACTTTTCTCACTTTTTGAGAAAAGAAAGGCTTTATTGCAGGTTTACTGGCAAGGAGATAGGAGACAATTCTCAAGTCTGTCTCGGTGAGAAGGGGCTGGGGCAGGTTTTATAGGCAGAGGACAATGAGGTGGTGCTGGGAGGTATGATCCGATGATCCGACTGAAGCCTGCCATGAGGTGATGCCAAGGTTTACTTCTTAATTCGGTCCCTGTTCCTCCATGGGAGCACTTTGGTTCCACCTGTGGTTAACTTTTTAGTTCCAGCCTGCTCAAGGTCATAAATTGGGCAAACTGGGTTCATCTGGGCATGTTCAGGTTACATGACCTGCAACCTAGGAGGCCCTGGCAACTGAAAAACCACCCACCATTTTATTACACAAAGCTGAATCAGATTGGGCTGGTTCTGCGGTTGCAAGCTCTTTTTTTCTAACAGTCGTAGTATTCACCTGCCAGAAATAGCATTCTACAATGTGAATAAAATCACGTCCTTCCCCTCCAGCGGTTCCCCGCTTTCCCCAAGATAAAAAGGACTTACAAGCCCCTGCTTTCCCACTCTCGCCTAAGCCTTCAGCTTCCAAACTGGCCCTGGGCTCTCTTGCTCGCTGGGTGTTCTCAGGCCCCTTGCACAAGCTGGTCCCTCAACTTAAAATAGACTCTTGTCCCACCCCTCTGTGGCTCCTCGCTCTTATCGCAATTGCTCATTTAACAAGTAATTACTGAGTAAATATTTTGCCCGGCTATGCACCAAACGCTGGGGTTACGAGAGGGGAGAAAAAGAAAGCCCCCTAACCACACGGGACTTACAGCTGAGGGACTTCTGTCCCCTGGCCCAAGATAGACCACGAAATCCGCCTCTGCCTTCCAGGCGCTTCCAATGCAAAGACAAACGGGGGCCATCCGTGCACTGAGCGGAAGTGTAATCAGCGGGGACACGGAGCCGGGCATGCCTAGGCCGCATAGCTCATGCTCACTCTGCAGTACCCCACGCGAGTTCAGACAGGCCGCAACTCCCTCGACTGAGAGTGGGCGGTTCCCCCACCTCCTCATCCTTAATGGTACACCCCACCTGCGGGTGCCCGGACGGCGGAAATGAACGGCGGGGGCGGGATCTGTTGCTTAGGGTGACGGAAGTGGCGCGGCGTTCGCCTGAGCGGGCTTTTTGGAAGTAAGTGGCGGTGGTGAGGCTGAGGTGGCTTTCCAGGGGGGCTTGCGCGTTGCCCAGGTGGGACTGGGCCCCTGGGAGGGAGCGGATCTGTGAGGACGAGAGGGCTCCCGTTTCGACGCGGCGTTTGGGATTTTCTGTGGCCTAGAGGGCCGCGCGCCCCGCCGTCTCCCGCCGAGTGCCTGGGCTTTCGCAGTTCCCGCCTCCCGGCGCGTGCCTCGCTCCGAGCCCCTCTCTTAAGGTTCAGCTCCTACTTCAAGAAATTTCTCTTAACTTTGTTTCGCATGTATAGCTCGGTCACGGCCCCCATCACCAGCCGCTTCGTTTTATAGTTTCTGTATTTGTGTTCACGTCCTGTCCTCTGGAGAGCCCCGGGGGGAGGACCACGGCTTTTCACGTCGATGGGGCCTCACTGTTCTCCGGTCTTCACTTTATCTCTGGGGCCTCTTGACAAGGAGTCTACTGTGCCTACAGGGACTTAACCGTCACCTTCTTGTTACCTCTGGTTTTAGGACGATTTTAGCAGATGTACCTGCTGACGTAGATTGATTTAAACGCATTTCCCTTTGAAACTGCCCCTTCAGGCTGGACGCCTCTTTTGGTTGGTGTGCCCTGTTTGCATCCAGGAGCTAAAAGCCTGGGATCTTCGAGTCTGGAGCTGGACAGACTCGGATTTCATTTCTCTCTCTGCCACTTGCTAGCCTGCTGCCGTTGGTGAGATTCCTTAATCTCAGAACCGCCAAAATTCTTAATCTAAAATGGGGCTAATAACGCCTGTGTAATAGGTTTGTGAGGATCAAATTAGTGAATGTGTGAAGTGCTGAGCTCAGTGTCTTGCCTATTGTAGGGGTTCAGTAATTCATTCGTTCAACAAATAAATATTTGTTAGGTACCTTGTGTGAGCTAGATACTGTGCTAAGTGTTGGAGGTACAGTGATAAACAAAACCAGACGTGGTCCCTGCCCTCATGGAGTTTATGGTCTAGTGGGAGATACAGTCGTTAATCTAGTAATTTACACATGTAATATTAAGATTGGGTGACAGTATGAGGTAACTGGTACCATAAGAGATTGTAATGGGGAACATTTAACCTAGACTGAACTAATGAGGAGGTGTGGATTGAGCTGAGATCTGAAGGATTTGTAGGAATTAACGGTAAAAGATTGGGGGGCAGGGGATAGAAGGAGAGGTATTTATTTAAGTTCCAGATGGAAGATCATGTGGAAAGGCCAGTGGCAGAAAGGACTTGGAGATTTGAGGGACTGAAAGCAGTTCAGTGTGGCTGGAGTATAGAGTGATGAAGGGGCGTTAGGTCTGGGTCAGACCCTGCACGACTTTTTTATCCTGACTTCAGGATTTTGGACTGATACAATGAAAGCAATGAAAAGCCACTTAAGAGCTTTAACATGAAGATGGGGTGGAGGGAAGATAAGTCACGTAATCAGGTTGTGTTTCAAAAACATCACTTTAGTTGCTGTGTAGACGGGGGACAAGTTAAGAAACTATTGTAGTAGTTCAGGCAAGAGATGATGGTGGCTTTGGAGTAATGTGGCAGTAGCGGAGATGGAGTGAAGTAGATTTGAGAGATGTTTAGTAGGTAACATTGACAGGAGTTGGTAATGGATGTGGCGAAAGGCAAAGTTAAGAATGTTGCCCATGTTTCTGATTTGAGCGGCTGAGTGGATGATGGTAGATTATGGAGATGGGAAACAGGAGGAAGAAGAGGAGGAGCAGGTTTTCTTTCTACCAGTTTGCATTTCTCCTTCTATTTCCATAGCTACTCACAGAATCCTATCTACCTTATGTGCCTCCATTTCATTCCTTCCTTTCCATTCCCCAGAGTCACCACCCTAGCACAGGCCTTTATCACTACCACTACAATAACCTCCAAGTGTTCTCTTAGTTTCTCCTTATTCCCTTTCCCCTTTAATCTGCACAGTGATGCTAGGTTTGGTTTCCTCAAACACTCTTTTAATCTTGTCAGATAGTCTTGCTCAAATTTTTGATGGTTCTCTATCATTTACAGGATAAAATCTAAATACCTTACCCTGGTATGTAAGATCTCACACAGTTTGTTTCTAGCCTGTCTTTCTAGCCTTCCTACTCACTGCTCTTTCTGTTTGAATGCTCTACCTAAGCCAATCTACTCATTTTCCCCAAATAAGTTTTTCATTTCACAGATGAATGCCTTTGTTCCTGATACCCTCCTTCCCAATAATGTATAATGTATGCCATCTCATTGTCTTGACTATCTAAATTTAATCTCTAAGCTCCAATTCAAGCATTCTTCTGCCGAGAAGCCTTGACATTTAAGTACACAATTATAGCTTTAGCCTTGTTAACTTCTCACTTGTTTTTATAGCATTTGATTGGCACTTAGCATTTACAGTGCTATTGGTTTTTTCATTTATTTATCAAATATTACTTTATTATATGCTTATAATAATGTAATATATTTCTGTATATATATTTATAGTGTACTGTGTATTTGATATCCCATTAAACAACAGCTTTGTTCTGGGGCAGTGTGTTGATAACAAGTGTGGGCAAAAATTATGAAACCACTTGATTGGAATATAGGTTCCTAATAAGGAAATTCCAGGGAATTTTTGAGATTATTATGGTTAAGAATCACCTACTTGTACTAGTCAGTAGTCCTTAATCTGTTGAGCACTCACTGCATAATAATGAAATATTCAGTTAACAGGGAAGGGGACAAAAAAAATCAAGCTTGTTTACTTCTGGAAGCTTCATCCAGCTCTGACATTTTTCCCTTACAGTTCCCCGATATGAGCAACAATGGACCAGAAAATTTTATCTCTAGCAGCAGGAAAAACAGCAGACAAACTGCAAGAATTTCTTCAATCCCTAAAAGAAGATGATGTGAGTATTAGGAAGCATGTTCTACTAAAAGTAAATGTAAGCATGATGACAAATTCAAAGGGCATGTGAGAAAGAAAAATTATTCTGCCACTTCGTCTATTCCCCAATCACCTTAGGGAGAATAAATCCCTAATTGTTATAAATAAATCGTTATTAAGTAAATCAAAAGGGTTTACTTGATAACAATTCATAGATGTAAATAAATTGGGGGATGGGGAGAGATGTGAAAAATGGATAACTTAAGGGCATTTGTGACCAAATTCAAATCTGAAATAGCCTAAGAATAAAATGCTTTTACAACTGCATATGTAAAAGCAAATTAGTGTGCTTCCAGAGTTCTTAGAACAATCCTATTTGAAGATAATATCTAGACTGTAGCTATTGATGTGAGACATTAGTTTTGCTTATTGATGCTTCTTTATATTTTTTCTTAAAATTTATAAGCAGCAAAATATTTCGAAATTATTAGTAAAAGAAAATTAATGCCTGTGTTTTCACTGTAACTATATGATTATAAAATGGGATAGTAACTACCTTATATGGGCTGTTTATTCTTCCTAATCTTACCTGATAATACTGCTCCTTTTTCCATAATCAGTGATCTCAGCCTATCCAGATCCCTGCCTGGAAAAGAATCCCTTTTCAAGAATAACCTTAAACATTAATATATGTATTAATATAATCAAGACGTTGAGCATTATGTTTTTTTTTTTTTTTTTTTTTTTGGGCCTCTTGACAAGGAGTCTACTGTGCCTACAGGGACTTAACCGTCACCTTCTTGTTACCTCTGGTTTTAGGACGATTTTAGCAAATGTACCTGCTGACGTAGATTGATTTAAACGCATTTCCCTTTGAAACTGCCCCTTCAGGCTGGACGCCTCTTTTGGTTGGTGTGCCCTGTTTGCATCCAGGAGCTAAAAGCCTGGGATCTTCGAGTCTGGAGCTGGACAGACTCGGATTTCATTTCTCTCTCTGCCACTTGCTAGCCTGCTGCCGTTGGTGAGATTCCTTAATCTCAGAACCGCCAAAATTCTTAATCTAAAATGGGGCTAATAACGCCTGTGTAATAGGTTTGTGAGGATCAAATTAGTGAATGTGTGAAGTGCTGAGCTCAGTGTCTTGCCTATTGTAGGGGTTCAGTAATTCATTCGTTCAACAAATAAATATTT